AAGCTATTTTATCTTCCCCTCTATTTTTTTAATCCCTCTAGTTAAAGGCATGCTCACCCACACCTCTAATAGACTATTAGCATTTAAAGGAGCTCCTTAAATTATGATTTTGCAGTTGTCATCAGTGTTTGGCCTTGGATTTATTTAGCTCATCTGACAGGTAACAGTGCAGTTTTAATGATAAGAGTGAAAAATGTGAGTTTGGTCTTAGTCTGACTATCAGAGTCTGCATAATTCAGAAGGTTACACAGAGCACTGCCAACTTCTTTAATTGCATGTCACATTATGGCATTGGCAAAAGGATGCACTTATTAAACTTTATTTGTTCACAGTCTCCATCAATTTTTCTCCTACACTTGATTGCTAGTATGGACTGGTCAGAAGCATATTATCTTTTCCCCTAAGACCCTTAAGCTTTGGTTTTAAGGAAAAATATACCTTGATAGCAAGGAATTATATCACTAATTGCAGCTAAACTGCTGCTGCTGCTGAAAAAAAACCCCAAAAAAACAACCAAAAAACTGTAGTCATAATGGTTTGGTTGCTGCAGGTATCTTGTTTTTGTTTATGGCTTATATAAAATATTTCAGAAGTCTTAAAACTATTCTAATTATGTTTTACCCTAAATTTTAATATTTTAATTATATAAAAGTCAGCAAAAGATAACAGACTAACTAGCTTCCTGCAAAATCTTTGCAATGTATTGTTTACATGTTTGGAAATTAGATACTGAATAAATAGTGACAGAAGTATAGCATATTACTAAAAATGTGTAAAAATTAAGAGACTGTAACAAAAAATAAAAAAACCCCCAAACCTAAAACATAGATTTACATCTGGTTTTGCACCTGGATTTGTCTGAGCCATGTTGGTATATATGCTTATCTCTCTGTGCTATACTCTGTGAAATTTGACAGAGAGTAGCTGTAGAGATTTTTCAGTGATTTTCTTTAACAGTGCCAGACTATTATGGTAAGATTCCAGAAGTGATAAACATCACAACCCATGTCACTACAAGACCTTCTGCAAATAAATACTGTCTTGAAAAATGATGTTTCATTTCAACAATTCTGTTCAATCAGGCAATTTAATGAGAGAGTGTTTAAAACAAAACATCAGGTTTTGATATTAAAAATTACCTAAGTATAAAAGTAGCTTGTATTTTTAAGAAGTAGCTTTTGTATTTTTTGTGTGGGTATTCTCTGTAGTAGTTGTTACAAACTATTGAAGCTGTCTCTTTCTGTTAAATATCTGGAGCTATCAGTTGCTAATGCCAAGAATATGCCCATTCTGTCTCCTAAACTAGTGGGCAGAATGTGGTTTTGCAATTGAGTTTTGATTAAATTTCTAGAAGTTAAAATTTGGGAAATGAATTTAAGTTCTTTGGACCTTTTGGTTTGATTTGCATTCATATTGAGTACATTAATACTTTTATAGTTTGAACAGAATTGCAGTGAAAACTAAAGGCTAAAGCTACAGTGTTATTGTCAGCATATCACATCTGTGTGTTACATTTAGGGCCAGCCTTTATTATGTTACTGGTTTGTTCACAAACTTAGTGGTTGCTCCATGGAAGACTTAGATTTCTGGATAAAGAGAAGAAACTAACTAAATTCTAACATTTTCTCAAATGAGCTTTTAGTTTCACAAGAGCTTTCTGTCATATTATTTTGCTAGAGTCTAAGGTCAAATTATGTTCATAGAATAGAAACTTACTTTCAAATCCTCAACGGGAAAAATAACTTCATAGTTTTCATGCTGTGGAAGAGAGAAATTTTCAGTAAATGGAGCAGAAAGTCAGTAGTCTTACTGAAACAGAAATATTAAATTCTAGAAGGTATCTATAATATTTGAGGCAATCAGAAATGTTTAGTTAAACTCGATAAGGAGAAAAACAGAAAAGTATTTTGGGATCTGGTAAGTTAATAAGGTGTAAAACAGTTCACCTGCCTACTGGATGTTAATTAAATGTTGATGTCTGTGCTACCTAAGCAGTAGTTTAGTTCCTGAATTGCTTTGATTTGTGGTCATGTCTAGAGATAATGTAGGCAGAAGGAAGTAGATATTTGAAAAAATAAATTTGTACAATAGCCTGCCTGTGGAGAATAAAAGTACAAGGAAGCCCTGCAAGAACAGATGGTTGTTAAGTACACAATGGGAGGGCAATACATAGTTTCACTCTTAAAAGGTCAAATGAATAATTACAGTGCTAAAATTTGGTTGTTCTCGCTTTTGGGCTTTATCATAATTTTGTAGTGATTATGAGAATGAAATCCGTTCTCAGATGTTGACTTTAGACCCTGTTTTTGAACTTGTTACATGCTCTCTGCTATATACATAAGTGAGATTTGGATGACTAGTTTGTCCCACCTAATATTCATTATATTGGCTTTATATTGCATGGGTACAGTGCTTGTATGTTCTTTCAGTTACTTCAACCTGTCATTTTATGCACAATTTGACAAATTGCTGTTGTTCAGGTTTCAAGCTTGTATTTACAAGTAGTTATTGTTGAACTAGATTTTAATGTTAAAAAGCCAATAGCATCAATAGCTTCATCAATATCAGTATATTAAGATAAAATTCACTTGTGGGTTCAAAAATAATTTTCTCTGTGACCATGTGAAGCTGTATTTGGGTACAAACCTAGAAGTTCTCTCACTACAGAAGAAAATTTGCAGTGAATGAAATATGAGAGCTGCCTAAGCTTGTTAGTGTTCCCTGGATTTTTTTGTACAGTTTTCAAAAAGTAATGGATTTTTTTGTTTAAGTATAAGCCAGTTTGAGAAATGGTGATCCAAGTTACACATGTATTCCACCCAGCCTATTTTATGGTTTTTCCCAAAATGCTATCATTTATGTGGTACATAATTTTGTGTCTGGTTCTTGACAGGTACTGCTTTCAGATACTTTAAAAATATGTAGTATTAATGAAGTAATAACTAAATTACATTGCAGTTAGTTCTGCAGGCCTTTGGGTGCAGTATTGACAAAGTGTAAAACAGGACTTTCTCTACATTTCCTAGTACAGAATGGAAGGAGCTATGATCTAGATTAAGATTTTTTTTTTCCCTGATTTTGGGCATGGGATTCAGCTATCAGAATAGTCTTCAGTGTGCTCAGAACCACAATGGAACTAGGGTTTATGCAAAAATTTTGTGAATATTCGTAAGGTACTTTCAGTGCAAGGTCACAGAGACATTCAGCCAGCTTACTGGTCATCAGCTTTCGTTTATCTGGTCACTGCTCTACTGGTTCTTCTAAGTTCTTATGCTGTCTGATATACTGGAGAGCTTCATTAATTCATTTAGTTTTTCAAAATGTGTTGCTTGTGACATTTTGCAAAAAGAGAGCTCTATGAACATTTGCCTTTTAAAAGTTCTTTTTTTAATTTGACTTTTTGTAGCTATAAAGGGTTGTTTCATAAAGCACACCTTAGAAGAAAAGTTTTTTTGGGTTTTTTTGTGGTTTTTTGTACAAATATAGGTTTCAATATAAAGAGGCTACAGGTAGTGAAGTTTAGGTAGAGCATAATTTCCTGTTTGAAGTCCCTTTCTATTTTTGGCCAGTCTCTGATTCTCCCCTCATCTGACTATTGATAATCTTTTTCCGTTACTGTTCTGTCCCCCACATCCAGGATACTTCATCAGTGTTTTCTGTGAACTTCATCAGTGTTTTCCCTTTAATTAAATGACATGGCATTTTATTTTACTTTTCTCTATGTCAACAATTATGTGAAATACTGTGAAAAAATATAAGTGTGAAAATAAGTATTGAAATCTGAAGAAGAATTAGTTTTCTTGTTGATCTGTTGGTCTCAGAAAAAAAGAAACAACTGCAGTTGTAATTCTGGGTTGTAACAGGCTTTGTCTAAAATGGCCCATGGACCAGTTTTACTTACTGATTTCTTATTTTAGATTAGGTATTTGGAAGAAAGCTTCTTCAAAAGCATGTCCTTGTCTGTTCTACTTCCCATTCTCATGTGCGTTTCAGATTGGATTATATAGATAAAGACATTTGGGTTACATTTCATCCCTTATGTGAACTCATGCTTCCTGTGTGAGATTACTATAGCTGAAGGGACTTGATTCTTCTGCTGTTGCACCCTTTTTTGGGTATGGCTATTGATGGGCTTTGTCATCTTTCTTTGGCTGAGCAGAAGGTCTCGTTGCAGGAAAATCATGAAATCTTAGTTATGTTGCTGTTTGTAGGCTTAAATTCCCCTTTCCCCTTTGATGATGTGACTGAATACTTTGCAAGTATTTCTTCCCTGTGATGGATGAACTGAGGGTGTAATGTCCGGTCCTTAAGCAAGAGGGATATTTATAGCCAATGAAGTGTTTTTCTGCGCAGGGGACACTACAGGAAATGAAAGCTGTGCATGAAAGGTGTGGCTCTCAGAACCAGAAACACTCTCATAGTCTTCTGTGGATAAATTTGCTTTAAAAAGGGTGGCCTGAAGTGAGACTTAACGAAGTGCTTGGGTCAGGTCGGAAATAGAAGTACATAGCAGCTTAACGCCACATCGTATGGGTCTCATGTCCTAGGATTTCACAGGTTTCTCTGGGATTACCAGCCAGTTGTGCCTTGCCCAGAGGGCAGGAGACACTGGGCTCTTCCCTCCAGAGTGTGTGTTTCCCCTCTTGGCCAGACCACTGGAATGTGTGTGAATGTGGCAGCAGTTTGGCTCTGGAGACAAAGAACAGTGTAATTGTTGCAACCGATTCAATAAAGCATTTCAGGTTCTAGCTGAAAGGTAGGGGAGGTACAGGTAATTCAGTACTGCTGCTGCAAATAGTTGTGCTTTATTCTGAAAGTTATTCCTAGCTCTCTTAGTTAAATCAGTAGATTAAAAAAAAAAGAAAAAAAAAACAAACAAAAAAACTCCAAATAAAAAACTCAAACAGCAAAACTCAGCAGTTACAGACTAAGATAGTTCTTGGTTTTCTAGAAACAAATCATTGAGATTTCCTTTCCAACAATGCTTCTGAAGCACAGATAAAATGGCTTCCTGTCCCAGGGTTTCCTGTATCCATGGCAACCTGACTTCAGGCACTTCTTTCTTAGTTTCCTGAGCAAACTGTTTCAAACCCAGGGGCAAAAATGTGAGTGCTGTAGTACACAGCAATACTGCCTTTACAAAGGTTTCACAAATGAGTGTAGTTGGTCAGCTTATAACATAGTCCAGTGGACTGCAAACAGCAAAATAACGGAAATAATGAACTTCAGATTTGGGGTAAGGAAATGCTTCTATTTATTTTAAAAGTAACTTAGCTTTATAAAAATAAAATTCAAATTGCAAGTGAGCTGCCAGTAAAAGGTAACTTGTTCACAGTTGGCATTTCTGCTTGAATGCTTTTGAAACATTTCTTAGTGATGGTTAACTATAAGAAGTGGTTAATGTATAGTATTTTTAATTTAATAGAAGCTGTTATTTTGTCAGGTTAGATGCTTTTATGCTATAGCCAATTAAATATTTTCTGGCTATGTTACCGGTATATTTTTTTAATTGTCCATTTACTTAAAATTTTTTTTGCAGCATAGTCCAGTTAGTAAGTTAGAGTTTTTGAACTGCTTGTTTGGCATGAAAAAATACTAGGTAAAATATCAATACTGAGAACAACACTAATATTTTTAAGACTGTACACATAGATTCAAATAATTATTAATCATTAATATATATAATGAATATATTTGAATTATTAATATTTATATACTTCTTTTTATCTCTACTAGTGAAGTCAGAGATGAGTAAGAAGGCCAAAGACAGGGATATGTGTATTCTGCAAAATTCTCCACCCTGCCCAGGAGCATTCCTGTATATATTTAATTGTTTTCTTTTGTTGCTGCTCCAGAAGGAGGCTTTTGGCTGTCCATCTGCTTGTCAGCTCTGCACAGGGAGACAAGTTAGCTGTCGTAATGCAGGGCTTTCAAGCATCCCTTGGAACCTTCCAAAAACAACAATTCTTGTTTACCTCAGTGGAAATAATATATCACATGTCACTCCAAAGGATCTAAGTGGCTTTCAGAAGCTTGCTGCACTCTACATGGATAACTCCAGTATTTTGTATGTACACCCAAAAGCTTTTGTGGACCTCCCCAAACTGTGCTACTTGCATCTAAATAACAATAATATTAAACGCCTGGATCCAGGAATCTTTGAAGGCCTTTCCAATCTTCATTGTTTATACCTTCAGAATAATCAAATAGCTTTTCTTCCCAGAGGATTATTTAGTGATCTTCTTTCTGTTAGATACTTAACACTTCAAAGAAATCGTCTCAGTGTCCTTGGAAGTGGGACTTTCTGGGGAATGATAAGTCTTCAGACACTAAACCTAGCAAATAATAAGATTTCACGGATATCAGATTCAGCATTTCATCATCTTGAAAATCTTGCATATTTGTTTCTTGAAGGTAACAACTTAACACTTGTGCCATCAAATGCTATTGGACGGCTCAAAAATCTTGAAAGACTTTCTTTGTCTCACAATCCCATTGGATCAATTCAGCCTTTTGCATTTAAGGGACTTAACAAGCTTAGATATCTGTCTCTGAAAAATGTCAAGCTAAAATGTGTTGCTGTAAATGGATTTTTTGGATTAAACAACCTTAGCCAGCTAATCTTAAGTTATAATGATTTAGAAAGTATAAATTCCAGCACTTTCACTTTGTTGAACAATTTAATGTATCTACAGCTAGACAGAAATAAAATAGCCAATATTGGTGATGGTACCTTTGAAAAAATGGGGCAGTCACTTAGAGTACTCAGTTTAGCTTTTAATAATATCACGGAATTACAACCTGAAGTGCTCAAACCGTTAGTATCTTTAACTCATCTGCAGGTACATTCTAATCCTTGGAACTGCAGCTGCAAAATGCTTGCGTTACTTAATTGGCTAGCATCATCTTCCGTTTCTGTAAAAATCCACTGTCAGAATCCCCAGAGTATGCGTGGGAGACCTTTGCATTATATGAAGTGGGCTCGGTTTTCAAACTGCATTGGCCCCACTGCCGACCCAGGCTCTGCCCCAAGTCCAGGATCTGTTGGGATGCATCACAGCGCTACCACTCTGCTGATGGCCTGGCATAAAGGGAACAGGCACAACACGTTGCAGCAGTTTCTCACTGCAGAAACTAAGTACATTGCTTTCTGGGAAGGAACTACAGCTACATCTTCTACCCCACTGCCTTATGAGGAATATGCTGTTGAAATGCCATCACAGGCAGCTACGGTGTTATCAACATTACCAGTGCAAATACCAGCGGAAATTATACCTACTAATAGAAATGTAGAAGAACAGTTGTTTACAACAGATCCTGCTCCTGTATCATTGAAAACAACTCTGATTTGTACACAACAGGTTGAAGAGCTGAATCAAGCTTTTGACATCTTACTAGCCTTTTTTATTCTGGCTTGTGCTGTTGTCCTGTTCTTAACTTGTAAAGTTATTCAGTTTAGGCAGAAACTAAAGGTGCTGGAAAACTCAGGGGAAAAGAGTATAGAATATTATGGCTTTTATCAGCCTGGCAGATACAACATAACTGACTCAGTGCAATCTCTAACTCGGAAATCAGTGGAACATTCAGAACTGGACCAAATAAGGCTACTCAAGCGAACAGCATCAGAAAGTCAGGCACAGGTCATCTTGTTCGAACATTCATCATTGTAATTTATCTCATTTGATTTGGTGGTATGAAAGGTCAAGAAATCAAGAACTCAATTCTGTAAGAATACCTCCACCAATTAAAATCAACTGCTTAACAGAACTGTGGAAAATGGCACAATTTGGGTTCTGCATCACCATTTGCTTACTGAATGTTTTGAAATTTATTGATTATTTCATTATGTCATTTCAAACTAACATGGATAGGTTTATTAACCTCAGTCCCTATTTGTAATAATCATTCACCTATGCTCAATTATACATGCAGTATAAAGTACACTTTAATTTATTTTGCAGTATTAATGATGTAAGTTCCTATAGAAATAAGGAAGCAGCACAACATCTTTTTGGGATCATGAAGCCAAGAAATTTTGGGGATTTAGAAAACTGTGTTTCATGTGTTCATTGTAATAGAGTTTCTACTCTTCCTCTGTTAAATATAGCTCAGTGGAAAAAAAGCACGTTTACAGCTAGCATGTTCAAACTCTTGAGTAAGAGAATAATGTCAAACTATACAAATTCTGTTCATACCTATAGCATATTGTAATATACAAAGTTGTGTGTTCAGTGTGTATAATGAATATATTAAAGTGATAGTGTGTGTCTGTATCGTTTTGTGAAATGCCCCAAATTGGAGTTAAGAAAAGCTAAATTTCTGTTGAAATTTACCAAAGTTTAATGACCAAATTATTATGTATAAAGTAGTAGAGCTGGTTAATTATTGTCAATTAAAGATCATCATCTATGTCACCTATGTAGTAATATTTTGAGGGACTTTTTAGCTAGATAAGAGGTGCAAATTGAAGGAGTACACTACGCTGTAAGTACATAATGCTAAATTAATGGTTGAAAACATTTACATATTTGGTTTATATTTGGATGTGTCAGCTCAAGAGATGTGTTCTTAGTGATCACTTCATCTTTTCTATATAGTTTGCATTTAACTTTTTGTTTCCATTTCAAATGCTGGTGTTCTGTTGTCAGGTTATGTCTAATATGTTGTAGCTTAATTTTCAACCTTAATTTCTGCAATTTTTGTTTCTCTGTTTGTTACTTCAATAATTCAAACTTTATACGGAAATTAAAAGTCATAAAACTATGTTCCAAATAGTCCAATATTGTAAAATTTACAACCAGTGGGACTTAGTCTTGTAGATACTGTTTGTCTTCTACAGGCCTGTGCCCTAGAGATTTCAGCTGTGTTGTTTCTAAGTTACACGGTTTACAGTCAGACTGTTTTCCTTAAGGAAAAGTGGGGAACAATGCTTTGATAGACTTTCCTCCATGATGTTGATTTAAATTGTGTAAAGTGTGTTGCTGTTCCAGGCTCCAGCCTGGAGCCTGTGGCAGTCTCCAGCTGAGGCAGAACTGCCCTCAGCATTCTTGTTCTATACCCTCTCTTTCCCGCTGGTGTAAGTCCTGTGCGTGTCCAGGCTGCGCAGGTTCCGGAAATCCTGTTTGTCCATCTGCAGTTCTTTTCCAGAAGGGAAAAAAATCTCTTACCTGCTACCAGGATATATATAAATCTTCCCTGAGTGGGTGTGAATGTCCTAGTGTGATTTCATTGTTGTTTGTTATTAGTGTAATGAAATAATAGTGTATTTGACTGTAATTTTCTGTCATTTTCTTTCTCTATGATACAGTTGTCATAGATCAGATACTTCTAAGGAACACACATTTCAGCTTCTTGAACAAAAGCTTAAGCTGTTCAGTATTACTTGAATAGAAACTACTTTTTAAAATATTTTTCTCACTTAAGATCAGATGTTAAGTATAATGGACAAATGCTTTTAAGAAGTGAAAACACTGGCTGTAATTTATGCACTTTTTTCTGGAGGCTAATCCACTGCAGTCTCTTCCTCCTTAACCCATTTTTGTTGCTTTCTGTCTCGCCTGCACAATTCCTTGTGATAAATTGTCGTTCTAATTAGGAACGGCGAAAAGAACGACACAGACTCTCAAGGGAGTCAGAACAGGAGAATCTCTCTAGTTTATTGCTCCAGGCTTGTCTTATAGACAGATACATGGAAAGTACAGAAAGGAAACTCTTATTGGTTAGCAAATCACTACATTACCATCATTGGTCAGTGGGGCACAACACCCTCTGACTCTTTCTTGCTCTGAGGATTGTTTTGAAATCCTCCTATGAATTTCCCAGGCTAGCTTCTCAGGCAGGACTGAGAGGCCATGGGCCTGCAGTTTCTGCAGCTCCCTGCAGCCTGTTCCAAAGCTAGCATCCATAATAAATATTAATTTTGTTTTCACTTAGTAACAACTGCACAATCAATGATTGCACAGTAATAGGTTCAGCAATTTTGTGTGTTATATTTCTAGATTTTTAATTTTACGTGGACAGCTTCAGAAATAATGGACTTTGAATGCAGTAGAAAATAGTGAAGTTTTTCTTGCTAGAAATGCTGCTCTGCCTTTGTTACAGGGGAGTTCTGGTTGTGCACAAATATTAAAAACTGAATAAACCTAATTCTCAATTCTCAAAGAAATCTGGCAGGGAGCAGCTCTGTTATTTTAGGCTCTGGTTTCCACAGCTGCTCTTTACAGAAAGGCACGAGAGGTTCTTTCTGTAGGCGGATCTTTTTCACTGATAAGCTGCTGTGGGATTTGTTTCCCAGGTATGAGTCTCACCATCTGTGGTGGTAGAACGTGAAAGGAAGCTGGTGTCACAGCTGTTTGTGCAGCAGAGAGAGCAGTTGAAAGCTATCCTTAGGAGTGGAGACATCCTCTAATATCCAGCTTGCCAACACAGAGATTAGACTAACAAGGCACTGAGAGATTTATTATGCAGTTGTGAGGGAAATGCCTTTCTTTAACAGTCAGAATCTTTTGTATTTAAATGTTTGCACCAGGAAACCAACCCTTTCATGTACTTGTCGTTCATAAGTTTATTAAAATCATTAGGGAATACATTAGAAGCCTTAGTTGAGTCTGCCCTCATAAAGCAAAGTGGTGCTTCGTGAAGATTAGGTTTATGGTCAGTCATAGGACTCCTTTGGAAAAATTGTCCTAGCTGCTACTTGACTGCCTTAGGAGCTCCTGAGAACTGTGAAGCTCCTAAAGGGTGTGTTTGTGTGTAATAATCATTTACATCACTTAAAGTATGTGCAGAGTAATCTCTATTTGTCCCACTCCACCTCTTTCCTTGGCTAATGGGATAAGAATAAAGAATTAATTAAGCTTTCTCAATATGTACGCTATTAAAGATATGAAATTAAACTCTTCTTGGTGTTCATTGCATCATACATTCACGAATGTAGAAAAGCCGAGAATGTTTTATCTTTCTTTTAATCTCTGAAGAAGTATTTTTTGTCATATAGATTTTTTTTCTCCTTCTCTGAGGGATATGCGAAATAGGTATAGGGTCCATTTTATTTAAGCACCACTAAAAATATGTCAAGACATGTTTTAACATTATGATAGAGCTTTGTTTACTGTAGTTGGCTATATAATTGAACTAAAAGTTGTGAATTTTTGCATAAAACCTCTGGATAATAAGTTGTATAGATAGCTGTATGTGTTAGAAATTAGAGACAGAATGAGAAAAAAAACTTACCTTTTTTATTTTCAGAACAGATGGAGGCTGTTTTGTCCCTTGCAAAGCCTATATTCTTTTATCTAAAAACTTATGCAAACTTCAAAGTAAAAGTTTCAAGAGTATTCATATGGAAGCTGCTCTGAATGCTAAGTTTTGTTTTGTTTATTGGTAAGGTGAATTTTATTAACAGGCAGCATAAAATATCCTTTCTGTAATAAAAAAAAAATGTAGTCATATCTTTGAAACTGGATTTTGGAATGTTTTAGGTCCTAATTGTGGGCCTTTTATTTTTCCTGCATACCGAAAGAGGTTTTGACCCAGTAATTTAGGAAGGCTGGGTAGTGCTGGTAGACTGGTAGTGGGTATATTATTTGCATAATATATTTTTACATCATCTGGAAGTAAAGTGAGAGCAGTCATCTGAAATCATGTGTACTGTAGCTCTCCAGACTGAAGAAAAATGGCTTATGTCCAAACCGGTTCAGAAGAAAGATAATTTGTAGCCCACTGATTGTCATATTAGATAATTATTTTAGTGCAGGAAAGTTATAGCCTAATGCTTTTTTTTTGTTTCATTGCTAATCTGGATTGTATGCAATTCAAGGGAGAAACTAAATGGCCTAAATGGTGCCTTCCTTCAGGTTTAAGATTTTAGTATGAAACATTGACTGTTCTGTTCTGAAAATTCACCTGAATACAGCATTTGTCTTCTTTGAATCCTCTCATATGCCTTCTCTATTTTTTTCTTGAAATAAGCAGGTTAATTTTATTCTCTTTGAAAAGGTATTACATTGCATGACATGGCTTGCTTTCTTATCTGTGGAAATAAGGCCTGATGCATTTTATGTTGCCACTGAACTTTGAGGTTTCTTTTTTCAAAGCGTGAGTCTGTGGTATCTTTATATTTCACCAGCATGTGTCTTGTGTTCTAGAAACAGTTGCAGTGTTTAATGGCTCCATACTTGGTAAATATTTCAGTGCTTCTATGGTAGAAAGAAAAAAATAAAGGGGAGAAAGGAAAAGCTATTTTATTTACTGAAAGCTGAAGGGAAATTACATTTTGAAAGGTGTTCTACATTCTTTGTTTTTGTTAAAAGAACCAGAAAAACACTTATGAATCTTCCACTAAAGAAAGTGGTGAAATACTATTTCTCATTTATGTCATAAAGTAAGAATATCCTTTCTAAGAAATTAATGATTTCCCTATGTGCTTTTGCCCTGTCAAGAACAATGTTCTTGCCGCTTTGTGCTGACGAGATGCCAGCTGGAGTGCTGCATCCAGCCCTGGGGCCCTCAATATAAGAAGGACCTGATACTTCTGGAGCAAGTCCAGAGACCACAAGGTTGATAAGAGGAGTGGAGCATCTCCACTATGAAGACAGACTGAGAAAGTTGTGGCTGAAGAAACTGTTGTATGGAAACCTGACTTCAGCCTTCCAGTGTCTGAAAGAGCCTGCAGGAAAGCCAGAGAGGGACTGTTCATCAGAAACTGTAGTGATAGGACAAGGGGGATTGGCTTAAAACTGAGAGTAGGTTTTGATTATATTTTAGGAAGAAATTCTTTACGGTGAGGGTGGAGAGGCACTGGATTGCCCAGAGAAGCTGGGCATGGATGGATGCTCCATCCGTGGAAGTGGTTAAGGCCAGGTTGGATGGGGCTTTGAGCAGCCTGGTCCATTGGAAGGTGACCTGCCTATAGCAGGAGGGTCTCAAATCTAGGTGACTTTTGAGGTCCCTTTCAATACAGACTGTTCTGGGATTCATGCAGCTTGGAAGGAAGGAATAATACAGGTATTGGACAGCATCCTGTATTATTAATTAAATAAATGTATATGAACAGGGCATAGTTTACTTCTCCAGGGCTCAAAGTGTTCACATTTGTTCTCCGTTGAGTGCCCCTTGCCTGCTATTGACATGAGTCTGAGGGCAGCTTGTTGGAAAATATTAACTATGTTAATGGCATTTTCCTAGAGATGTGTTTCAAAAACGAGGATGAGGCACAAGAGTCTTAATGGAGGTGTTCTAGGCAGGACCTCTGACTTTGTGAAGAAACCT